TGCTCTCTTATTGGGCGACTCTATGTAATTATTGCTTACTGTCAACTGCAATTACAGCGTAAACTGCGCGACTGTGCATTTGATTATCATTGTGTTTCTGTGCGCCTGTATGTGTAAATATATGCAAAGTAATATGAAATGCCTGATACTGCAGTTTAAAGTTAAGTCCGGGGTATCTGCTAGTCAAAGACTCCCGACTAGAGCACTGCTGATATTATTTGTAACTTTTATTTAAGTTAAATCGATTCGATAATTAAGTTGTTGCACTCACTTGTCCATGTTTTGAGAAAATCGCTTGAGGGCCAGGATGGCCACGTAAGTTTTGCCCGAGCCAGTGGGCAAGTAAATAATGCCATTTCGTTTAACAATGTATTCCACGAGTCGCAGTTGATAGCTTCGTGCCTGAGTGAAATTAAAAACAGAAATGTTTCACAGGAACTGAATTTTAATTATTATTATTTACCTCAAGTTTGTCAGTCTCCTTATTTTCTGACATATTTCCAATATGATTTTATGTTGCTTCTGCACTTTTCGATTGTAAATCGTACACTGAAGTGGCGCACATGCAATTAACTACAAATGCGATAGAAGCAGTGTAAATAATTCGGTTTCGGATCGCTCCTTACCATTTTGCTATTTTTTGGGGATGTACCGTTTTCTGCCGAACAGTTAGCTACTTGATTCGGCAAGTGTTTACATACTTAATGCATACTATGCCGGTTTCTCATTTGATATGATTAAGTGTGATATATTTTATTCTTACCTTTGTTACATACGCAAATGCTTAGACTTGTTTAAATATCTATTAAATTAAAATAGCGTTACAACTGGTGCAAATAATAAAATAATTGAAAACAATCCTTAGCAATTCGCAAGCACAAAGACACATGCAAGGTGTGACTGTTTCTGTTAAAGGTTGAAATACTTCTAATGATAACAGTTGGGACAAATATCGTTTGAAATCGATTGTCGGCGATATTTTGGTGTTATATGGTAAGTATTAGTGGTTAGTGGTATAGGAATACTATGAAAAGTGATGCAGCCCTAGTGTTAACAACCCTGTAACTGTTTACTGTGAGTCAATACTATACAAAATAAAGAATTTCTATTTTATTGTAAAATTTACGCAAAATTGATTAGTATCAAAAAGTATTATTAATATTTTTTTAACTTGCACGCTTTAGAGAAGAGATACCGCAAAAGAACGTGCAAACACAGAAGTAGGCTTTGTAAGAAAGGCAAACAAAAACAACAATGGTTGGAGTTATAGATGAGGCGCAGCTGTTTTATCCGCTGGGTACACGCATCAAAATCGGCAATAATTATGGCACCGTTAAATACGTGGGCGAGGTAGGCGTGTTAATACATGTTATTTCAAGGAATATATGATAGTTTTCATATGCATTGCAGGTAAACGGGCACTGTGGTACTTGGCTGGGCATCGAGTGGGACGACGGGCTGAGGGGCAAGCACAACGGCATGGTCGATGGCAAACGATATTTTCAAACGCGATTGCCTACAGCTGGCAGTTTTATACGACCGGGAAAGTTAGGGCCCTGTGCCACGCTTGAAGATGCGGCACGCGAACGTTATCTCAATTACGATTCCAAAAATGTAGATACTTCGCTGATACGTGAAGCACAGGCTTCAATGCAGGCCTCACTCTTCGAGGTTGTGGGCATGGACAAGATCGCGCGCAAGCAAAGCAAGTTTGAGCAGCTTTCGGAGGTGAGCGTGGACGAGACACCAGTCAATGCTGCAGGTTACCTGAAGGATCTCTCACAGCTAACTACGCTCAATGTAAGCCATACTCTCATCTGGAACTGGGAAATTGTGGCTAGCATAACTCAGCAGCTGCCTTTGCTCAACAGCTTGAACCTGAGGCACGTGTCCTTGATTCTACAAACGAAAACTATTTTAAATAATGACTTTACTTTGCAGCTCAAATCGTTTGCTGTTGCCCACAGATAAACAAGTTGTTGAACTGGCTCCCTCATTTCGTCACCTTAAACATATTAATTTGGGCAATTGTGGTTTCACGAACTGGCAGGATGTGGTGCAAACGGCGCAGCTGTGGCCGGATATTGAGTCGCTGAGCCTACAGGAAAACGCGTTAAGTCAACTAGCTGAAGTTGACTGCACAAAAATTTTTCGAAGGCTGCGTGAACTCGATTTGCATCGTACTAAACTCATGGATTTTGACCAGGTGTGCAAGCTGGGCAACATTAGTACCTTGTGTGTTCTCAATCTAATTGAGAATGGAATTGAGCAGCTGCAGCTCCCTGATTGCGAGCCGCAGTCAAAACTAAATATGTTTGTGTCGCTGGAGCAGCTCAGCTTGATGCACAATCCCATATGGAATGAGGCGAGTAATAACTAAAATATCAGTTTTTCTCACAATTTGTATTTTTTTATTTTTACAATTTGTATTTTATATTTTTTAGACTGAAGCATTCAACGAGCTCGACAAATTGCCACAATTGAAGCGATTGAATAAGACGCCACATTTGAAGTCAAATTTTGATGAAATGTTTTCCAAAGCAGTGGCCAGCATAGCCGGTCTGCAGGTCGTCAATAAGGCAAAGGTAACACCTGAGCAGCGACGCGGTGCCGAATATGATATATGGAAGAAATATGCATTGGACTGGCTACAGGCGACCAAATTGGGCGCTGATGCGCTACGCGAATTCTACAAGAAGCATCGCACCTATCTGGGGATTGTAAATAGTAAGTTGTTATTGCTAACCAATTGTAATAGTTGATTTCAAATCAGTTCTTCTCTTCTTGCATAGAATATGGGTCGCCCGCTGATTTTGTGCCGCGTATACAAGTCAAGCCATCCAATCTCATTAAAGTCCGCATACAGGATAGGCAGACAGGTGAAGTATGGGAAAAGAAGGTGCCACGCATGATAACGGTGCAAACGTTACAAGGACTGATTATGAAGCGATTTCGTCTTGGGGAAATTCCGAAACTATGCTATATAGATGCCAAATATCCGGAACTTGTCGTACGCCTAGAAAACAATGCCAAAACGTTGGATTTCTATTCAGTGCAGGAACACGATACCGTTTTATTTGAATAGTGGAAAAGTCTGGTTTAATGGAATATTTAAGAACCCTCCAAAACTCTCTTTACCCTTAATTTGGTATTTAATTGTGGTATTTTAGCTGTAAAGCAAGCATAACGTAAACTTGTTGATTTGATATACATATTAACTGTGACACCTACTGAGACCTATGCAATGCAAAATTACGAACGTTTGTTTTAGATATTTAAGTTTACCAATTCCCGCTTTTTTTCTTTTAACAAAATAAAAATGAATTTATTAAGTGAAACCGTTTTTTTTTTAATTACTATAAATATCGATGGTTGTCAATGATAGCTAGAAATGTGAGTTGCATACGGAACTGATACAGCAGAAAGCATCAATAGTTATCGATAGATTTGCCAGTCACATTACCGCGATGCGTTCATATTGGCTAACAAATTCTTTAAATTTGCTTAAATGCAATAAAAACAGTTTATGGATAACAGGCGTACGTAGATTATCTGCAACAACACAGTCTAGTGGAGAAAATATTCAATCGACAACACCGCCTGTACATCCTACAGAGGAGCTTGACAACAAGAACAACAACAAGGAGCATCAGCAGAGATCTCTGCACATAGCCGTAATTGGAGTCCCAAATGTTGGAAAAAGTACTTTTATCAACAACATAATTAACCATAAGGTGAAAAACAAATAGTTGTCAATCTAAAATCCTAACTAATCTCTTTTTTAGGTTTGTCCGACTTCAGGTAAGGTGCACACTACTCGTAAAGCAAACACTGCGATTTTGACCACGGGACAGACACAGCTGGTATTCTACGACACGCCCGGCTTGGTCACTCAGCATGAAATACGAAAACATCATTTGGAGCAGAGCTTTAAAAGTGCTTATCGTCATGCCATTCAACATGCGGATATTATAGCTGTTATGCAGGACGCGTCGAACAGTTGGACGCGAAAAAGTTTGCATCCCACAGTGATTGACACTTTAAAGACCTATGCTCAACTGCCCAGCTTACTGGTGCTCAACAAAGTGGATGCTCTTAAATCAAAGCGTGTCCTCTTGGACTTGATTAAAACTTTGACTAACGATACTCTGCGTAGCAAGAGTGCTATTAAAAAGATTTCCCTGCCGAGCGAATCAGTGGGCGTGCGTTTGAATCAACGAGAAACTAGTTGGAATCATTTTAGTGATGTCTTCTTGGTATCCTCCATCACCGGCAGTGGTCTACAAGAGCTGCAGGACTATCTGGTTGACTGTGCCAAGCCAAGACGTTGGGTCTATCCAGCTGACGTCTATACAGATGAAACACCCGAAACTTTAATTGTGGAGAGTGTGCGAGCACGTTTACTGGATTATCTGCCACAAGAAATTCCCTATAATCTGAAATGCGAGCTGGAGTACTACAATGTGGAGAACCGTAATTCCCCGCAGGCCTAATTAAATTATTCTTGTAATCCATGCTCTCTTCTTATAGGTGTGGTCTATACATCAGTTTTGGTTCAGTGTCCTACGCCCCGAATTGAGCGCCTTATCTGCGGAGAATCGAATGGAAAACTGCGCCAGATAACAGAACGAGTAACTTCGGATTTGGTGGAAATGTTTGGTCAAGCAGTGTCTTTAACCATAACCACAATGTCCGGGGGTAAGAGAAATGCATGAACGTGTTTTTCAACAGCTCTGAGCTTGGAAACGGCCAAACGGAGTACAAAATTCATTCGGAACCTTAGAGATGTCGTCATTTACCGCGCTTAGATTACGGTTTTTCAAATAATCGATAACTTAAATTTTTGTCAAATCGATTGTAGTAAAATATTAATTTCAGTCATTTTATTCACCAAATATTTTTATAAATACTTATTCTCTTAAAAGAAAAAGAAAAAAATGATAATTTGTAGCGTAAGTAAATGTAGATGTAGTACTCAGGCAAATCTAAAAACTTGATAGTTGGATAGACCGATGTTATTATTAATTACATAATTTACAAACAAATCAGTTGGTTACATATGGATGGTATTTATAAAAGTTTTAAATGGGCAACTAGCTTATCAACATCGGCAGCTGTTGCAGGTCCCAATCCAAGCACCGTAGCTGTTCCAGGGTCCAGCTGTGTACGCCCGGCGTCTCTTACCAAGGCAGCAACTACGTTCGCCTCTTGTGCCCGCTGCTGTAGACCATTTAACTGTTCGTAGCTGTCCACTCGGAGAACAATTTTAGGCTGTCCCATTCGGCACCAGCACTGGAGTAAAGCATTTTGCTTTTCGCTGCCATGGGATGCGCTTTGGTAGCACAGGATGGCTGCGTGTGCACACTGTGCCGCTGTTTTGCCTTTGCTCATCTTCAGATCTCCGCGCACGATTAGTGCCAGTTTTGTTGGGTTGGAGACAAAACTGGTACTGAAGAGCTTAGGTATAATTTTACTTAACATTGGAATATTTCTTGGACTGTTCATCCACATATTTTTGCATGCACGCCTTGAACTCTTTCACTTTGTCCTGACACATGCGCCAGTCGCCCGTCTCTGCAATGCACTCCTGCACCTTGTAGTGTAGCTCAATACAGCCTGTTTTTTTCAACATCAACTCGACCGGATCCTGTTCTTCAGTTGGCATATTTAACGTTTGTTTCTAATGCAGATTGCATTCAACAGCAATTATAGCAATAGCAAAAGCACATGCGCGATATCGATAAATATGGTGTCGCCATAACTTGCGATAGCTATCGCATTTTAATACGGTACCTCTTCTGACTAAATTTCCTACCTAATTCAAAATTTGAATCAAATGGATACAAATAAATAGGGTATGTGTTGTTCGTTTTAATAGAAAACTGTCATTGTTAATAAATTTGTTAAACTCGATTTCGCCCTACGTTACAATTTGTCCAAATATTGTGTAAGGTCTGGTAAACCGGGTTTAAGAGCCTTGCGTGCACGCGTCGCCTGAATAATTTGAAAAGGCTTAGAGGTGGGTTCGGATGGATCACCCGGCAACAACTGCCAATGATCGAAGACACATTGAGGAAAGGCCTGTCCCCGTGTATTGGTACGTAACTCGGCTGTAAAACCGAAGGATTCGTTGACCGGCAAAAAACATTTAACCACATACATGGGTGTTCCAGGCACTGGGGACTCCTCAAAGACATGACCACGACGTCGGCTGAGTACTTTGTGTATGCCACCAACAGCCAAATTGTGACATTGGATTTCACACAGATACACTGGTTCCAGTAGACGTGGACTCGCTGTGATTGCTGAGGCGTAAATGCAACGTCTCGTTGTTGGGATGATTTGGCTACCACTTCGATGTACTGCATCAGCATGGACAACCACGTCGTGTATATCAAAGCGTACACCCCGCATGTTTTCTTCAGCCAATACACCCTCCTTGGTTGCCCACTGAAAACCGGCGATAATCGAGTCCTTGATCTCGTTCAGATACTGAACCGATTTGGTAGAATCCACAATGATGTTGGCGCCAGTGCAATCGGGACCAAAGCTCCAGATTTTGCGCGCTTCACTCACTTCATAGCCATACTTCTCACTGAGAAAACGTGCCCGCTTCTTGAACTCCTCTCTGGCTGAGACAACGCCATTGTCAATGTCCTCGGCTAAGCCGTCGGGCATCGGTTCGGATCTCATAGTCAAACGATTGTGCTTGTTACGAGACTTGGACAGGCACATTTGGTTAGATTGCTCGAGGACAGTTTCACGATATGAAACTAGAGGATCTGACGTTTTGAGTGGAATACAGGCATGATCTTCCTCCAGATCTTTAACGCAAATCTCCAAATGCAATTCACCAGCGCCTGCAATAATATGCTCGCCGGACTCCTCAATTATGCACTGCACCATGGGATCGGATTTGGCCAGACGCTTCAGACCAATCACAAGCTTGGGCAAATCAGCTGGGTTTTTGGGCTCAACGGCTACACGCACAACGGGCGATACGGAGAACTTCATTACCTTCATAAATATAAATTTTAATAGAGAATGATTGTTTTGAGACAGACAGACTTGACTTGCCTTCATGTTGTATGCCTCTTTGAAGGTTGTGATTGTGCCTGTTTTTATTAGGAATTGATCTACGCCAACCAATCCGCAAATATTTCCTGCTGGCACGTTTTCAATGGCCTCCACTGCACGCCCCATCATCAAGACCGTACGTTGAATTGACTTTTTGTACAAATCCTCTTTCTTGCCGGGAACATAGTTAGGCCCCATGATGCGGCACTTCTGTCCGGTAACCACCTTGCCAGCGAACACTCTGCCAAATGCATAGAAACGTCCTATGTCTGAGGTAGGTACCATTTTGGAGACGTACATCATTAATGGACCTTCTGCATCGCAATTTCTAATGGCAACCGCCGCTTCATCACTGTGAGGACCATCGTACAACAGTTCCATGCGATACCTTTGGGCCACAACTGGTGATGGGAGATGGATGGCAATCATCTGGAGGAGAGTTTCGCCTGCTGGCAACCAATTGCGCATCACCGTCTTAAGTAACACCTTCCCCTGTTGTTCTTGCTCGTCCGGCTGCAGTTTAACACCTATCTTCTCTAATAATCCCGAAATTTGTTCTGTTTTGTAGTTCATTATGGCATCAAATATTTTATAAATGGGGTCGAGAATGTAAAGGCAAAATGATCGCTTGGCATCCGAATCTTCTTGCTTTTGCCATTTTCTCGTTTTTACGTTGAAGAAATTGTCTCCCCAAAATCTATGGAAGAAATTTTCAAATGAAATACATTTAAATACAAGTTAAGGAAACATCAAATATATGTAATATATATAAATAACAAAATATACAAGACCAGTTTTAGAAACTAATTTGTATCTAGATTCTAATTCTAACTGTGAAATAAAAATAGTTCTTGGTTTTCAAAAAAAGCAAAGCCGTATAAATTAGTTCAATAACTTGAATATAATAAGTTAGAATTGAGATTGTATTGAGAGCTTACCGCTTCATCAACTTATCCACATCGATCCTGAACTTATCAGCATACATCTCGGCAAATTGCTTCAAAGTGAATGCCCAGCCGTGTAGACCTGAACCGAATCCGACGGAGCCCTTCGAGGGGTCAAGAAAGATATTACCCATGGGACCGCTATCATCATTGTAGGTGGCTATGATAAGATTGACGTTCTCCACAATGCGCTGGAATGTTTGGTACAGCTCTTCAGAGTTCAATTGAAGTTCGAGCAAAGCTCGATCCATTTTATTGAGGAAGAGAATGGGTCTAATTCGCTCAGCAATCGCTTGCCTTAGCACTGTCTCTGTCTGCACACAAACTCCAGAAACACAATCCACAACGACTAGGGCGCCGTCGGTGACTCGAAGTGCCGCAGTTACTTCTGAAGAGAAGTCCACATGACCAGGTGAATCGATCAGATTGATGAGAAAGCCATTCGTGTCATCTTCCCGCTGATCCGCATTCGTGATGAAGCGCAAGTCCTCATTCATTACCTCAAAGTACATGGTAATGGCTCTGAAGACGGCATTCGGAAATCATTAAATAATGAAGATGAAGATGAAATAATCTTTGTCGAACTTACGTTGACTTGATCGTAATGCAACGCTCTTGCTCGTCTTTGCGGGTATCCGTGAATCGCATGGCACCAGCCCTGGCGCCCGCTATAATACCCGCTTTTGAGACCAGCGAATCAGTCAGCGTCGATTTACCATGGTCCACATGCGCTATAACAGATATGTTACGTATATTACGCTTCTTCTGCATTAGGCCGTGTATTTCGTCCACGGACAACTTCACCATTTTCTTTGAGTCTTTCTTATATGGAAAATTACACTTGAATTATTTAAATCGTCTCCCACATTGGCGCGCTCTAAGTGATTTCTTGAATCATTTGGAAAGCTTCACACTGCGCAGCCTTATAAACACTTTCCACCCATGGATTTCATAATAAGAGAAATCAACGTAAAGCTTTCGTTGAAAAAGCTGCTATCGTTGCAAATGCTTTAAGCTTGTAAGCTGAACGATAGGTAAGCAAATGAAATTATTATTCAACCTGTGGTCCGAACAACTTAATAACTGAAATTGATGCTTTTCTTTGATATTTGAAAACATAGATTGGGTACACTTTTTTGAGGTTCAGTAAAACACATATTTATAAACAATATAAAAATATGAATGTGATTGTTATGCTTTTGGTTGTTTAAGAACAACTGATAAATATATATATATATACAGATGTACTTACATATATTATTTCATTTACAAGTAAGAAAACTCTAGTCGAAAGTGCTCGACTAGATACTACCCTGAACCAAACTAATAAAATCGCACATTTAGCATGGTTAAAATTTCTATTTCTATTTAAAAATATAAATAAAATAAAAAAAACTCATTTAATTAAATATATAAGTATTTTGAAACAATTAAAAATATATACATAAATGGTGCGCTCTGGAGTCGAACCCGAGACTTCCCGAACGAGTGTCGCGCTGCTAATCACGCCACTTCACTTCCTAACTGTGCGATGGCAAATAGATTCACTGTTGCAGCGCCATCTACCAAGTCTAAACTAAACTAACTGCTGATGTGGTATAATTTTGAATGTATGTGTGCCCACGTATAGGAAAACTGTTGTAACTGCTGCACGTGCGTTTGTTAATTGGAAAAATATGTTGTTATTTTTTAACTTTCTGCATATAATCTACATATGGGCATTTCTCCCGAAAGGTCAACCGCAGCCAAAACATTCAAAGTCAATGAAAGCATGTTATGCTAACATATTTTTTATAACTAATCCATCAAATTTAACTAATATAAACCAATTTTACATTTTATCATAATACATCTCGAAATATTGAGACACAAAGCCGAACAAGTGCAAAAGTTCTGTTTTAAGCATTTCTATTGCACATTTTGTTCTTATTATTGAGACACTATGCAATGAAATATGATACTTAGAATTTTCTCAATTTTATTATAATTAATAAATAGAATATATTGAAAATCATTTCTAATGCGTTTATTCATGTAAAATTACTAAAGATTAAAAAAAAAAAAAAAGTATGGTTTAAAAAAATATTTCATTCCACACGTCACCTTCGACACTGATTAAAACTAAAAAATAAAAAAAATTACTCAATATTTTTGAATCAAATAAAAACATTGTAAAGATGTGCCAATTTCTAATAATATAAAATTATTCGCAATAAATTGTCATTTAAGGTTTCGCTAAAATCTCAGGTTAAACAGTTCATTTAAAAAGCGACTTACGTTTTTTGTAGCCTGCGAACCTCTTGTTTTTTTGTGATTATCTTGAAAAATAACATTTGTTTAAAATTAGATTTAGCACCAATTATAGAGCTAATAAAGAGCTAAAGGATCCGCTATTCGTCAGAATAAAAAAATGTTTTGGCATTCGTTTTTTTTAAACTCAAAAGCTTACGACTGTCACATTCGCCACTAGAGAATTGCCCATATTCTATTGAATATTTGACAAATTAAAAAAAATGCCAAATCATTCACAATTAGCTATATTGGCATCTGACTTGATTCTTAATGTTTTTAATCTATAAAAGCATAATGGGATGCCTTATCGATTTTTAAAGGTAAACTCGTAATTCGCGCTATAAATACGGTCATTAAACAAATTCAAGTCTAGCTCGTATATCTTCTGAAATTGACCCGTTCAAACATACGGACAGACGGACGGACGGACAGACAGATGGACAGGGCTAAATCAACTCAACTCGTCGCCCTGATCAAGAATATATATACTTTGTGAGGTCTGCCACACCTGCTTCTGCCTGTTATATACAATTCAACAAAGCCATTATACTCTGATTTCCCATTTTCAGTGGGTTCAGGGTATAAAAATATAAGTAAATATAAGCAATATATGTATGTACATGTTTTTTAATACTTAAAAAAGGTTCCCAAATTTAATAAATAGAAAAAATGTTTTACAAGCTTTAAGCATGGCAGCTTAGAGTACACATACGATAAGCCTAAAACTTGTCCAAAATATTATTTTCGCTAATATCTAATGTTTATAAATTAAATCACTTGTCCCTTTATTACGTTCCGTATATTAGAGAGAAAGATAAGTTTATTTATTTCTTTGAGTGGAATTTTAATTAGTGTAATATTTATTAGTCTGGAACTTTTTGTTCAGCTTGTGGAAAATTTTGTTTAGATCTTAATTAATATTTCTTCAATTAGTCGTAGCGGCTTTATAATTTTTTTATTTCACGTATATCGGATTATGTTTTTGTCGTTTCGTTTCATTTGCATGCAGCTTATTGGCAGAATGAACAAATGATTTTGATATCTTGTTTCATGAGTTATATTTTGTTTTAAGAGAGGGTGAGGTATTTAGTAATTTATTGGCAATTTAAAAAATTCAGTTATTCGGTTTTTCAGTTATCGCGACGAAAATTCGATGTCTTGGTTGGTCCCCATACAAACAAAGAACGTGATTATAGTGTTTAAATGTATGTATATTCTAAGCTCACGTCTTTATTACTTAAAGTTAGTTTATTATAAATGGGGGGCGACGACGGCGTGTTATCCAAAATATGTAAATTACAAAATATGTATTCGTATTCATGAAATGAATATACACTTTAAATCTGAAGTCTCCAAAACTAATAGTATTCATTATAGGCTGAATAAACAACATAGATTTATCGATTATTCTCGATAAAAAAGAAATCGGGTGAGTTATATGACAAACTCGTACTGCGTATGGTACACACGAGTATGCATGCCAAATTTCAGCTCTCTAGCTCTTATAGCTTTTGAGATCAACGCACTCATACGGACGGACGGACGGACAGACGAACAGGGCTATATCGACTCAGCTCATCCCCTGATCAAGAAGAAAACCTTTATACCCTGATTTCCCATTGAAAATGGGTTCAGGGTATAATGATATAATACCGAAGTCTATAGAACGAAGGGAATTCGATTATATCTACCTATTATAAGACTCGTAAATTTTGATATATTTGGACTAAGAGAACGAGCTCTACGTTCTGGCTTTTATGGGTGTCATGTTTACATATGATACGATAGCTGGGCCTTCGCCTGATTTACAATTTAAGCGGTTTCTTTGGAAGTGGGTTAAATGCTAAAAAAATCTTTTGTTGTCGATTGATTCACATTTTCAAATTCGAGTGAATGACTGAGTGCGTGGGCTGGTTTTTTGGGGAGTGCGTAGAACCCTTATCAAAATTCTGAGCATTTGCATAATTCAGCTGCAGCAACTGTCGCTTGGCATTAACATTATGTGGTTTTAATTGTCGGCCAGATTCTCGCTTGTAATGCAGCCGACGCCCCCGCAATATGAAATGCTTGTTTATGCTCCTATACAGTTGCATTATTCATGAGTGTCTGTGGCGCAAAGAGTAGATATGAGTTGCGGCGATGGGCAGGCCACGGCAGGCCAGGGCAGGGTAGTGGATGGTAGGGGAGCAGAATTGGAGTAAATTGTAAATACTCTGCTTTGTGTCCTTTGCTACGTTTACATGACGCAGTCGTCAAGAAACAACAACACCAACATCAGCAGCAGCACGCCCACGCATCGTCTGCCTTTGTAATGTTTATAAAGTTGAATCTGTATTTACATTTTAAGCAGTATGCAAATCGGCGGCTAAAACGGTACTGCTTCGCCTACTGTTTCACAATGCCCGCTCGTACTCTCGCAATGTCAACAATTGCCTCATCTACTAGTTGGACGGGGTGGCACTATGCGCATTTCCGTTTCCGCCCACCAAATTACCATGGAATATTTTTAACGCTTCGCAAACTTGCGAATTGCGGCCAAAAACTTGTTAATTGCCGATTGGGTGGTAGTCCCCTGTAAGTGATACTTGACAGCATTACTAGGAAAATGTAAATAATTCCAGATACCCCAACTTAACTGGCTAAAGAGAAACAGATAGGAGCGAAAAGAGAAGAGGGAGGGGAACACAGAGAGAGAGTGAAAGTGAGAGACTTAGTGGTCATGACTATCAGTTCCAGGTCATGTCAACATGCATCAGGTATTTTTGTTATATCTGAATCTATATATATGTATATCTTTAGAAGAAGGTACATACAATATAATACAAGCTATACTGTCTTTAATATAAGTTTACACATATATTAATATAATTTTTATGATTGGCATATTTTGGTATGTTATAGATTACTTTGTTGGACTTTCTTGGCATACCGATGATTTATACATTTAATTTGCTTACTTTAGTGTATTTATTTATTTTATTTAGTTTTTTATTTCATAGACTAATCATATTTAGTACATACAATCTGGCTGAATTTCAGTCTCATTCATCTTTATGATGAATACTATCTTGCAGTATTTTTCAATTGGGTTCCAAAAAGGACTTAACCTGATGACGAAGCTGTAAGATTTATGCAGGTCAATCAATATGTAGCCATGCGATGCGGACATTCGCTGGTAGGCCTGATTGACAGGCCGTTAGTGTGGCGAGGCGGGGTGGGGTAATGCTTAAGAGGTTTCATGTGAAAATGAAGTCAGTGAAGCATTGCAGAAATTAGCCAGCTTGCTTTCAATCAATTCGATCTGATAATTATTTGTTTCAGAATAATCAATCAGCAAATGGCAATGTTGTTTCAAACTTCGTTGTCTTCCATTAGCGTAGCATATTTTTAGGGATACCTGAAAAACGAATGATTCTCTACTCGTACGGCTAATTGAAATTAGCCACTGAGTGGTTACTGAAGCCTTCGGCTTGAACTTGTATTTTGAATTTCTAGATTATCGTCAGACAGAAACATATGTTATTTAAAGCCTTGTGTTAGATATTGATCCACAATGATTTTTTTTTTTTTTTTTTTTTTTTTTTTTTTATTTATTTTAAGCGCTGAATCTGTACAATGCAAGTTTAGTACCTTAAGAACACAATTAGATTATTTATATAGAACCTAACCTTCTGATGTATTCAGGAGAACTTACAAATATATATTTACAAGTATCCCTAAACTAAACATATCTAATATTTTTGGCAAAACACAAGCGTTTTAATCGCCTTAGTGGTCTCGCAGGAAGCAATCTTCTCGCTAGTCTGCTCCGGTGTCTAGCCAGTCTGTCACTATATCGGCTAGTGTGTCTCCCAATCTGTTCCTCCACAGTAAACAGTTTCAGATCTCGATGTAGAGTTGAGCCGCGCACATACCATGGGCAGTTTGTAATTTGCCGCAATACACGATTTTGCAGGACCTGTATGCGTTTATAGTTTGATTTTGCGCATATTCCCCAAATCTGCACACCGTAGAGCCAAATTGGGGCTACACAGTGGACATAAACCGCTCTCTTAGCTCTGAGTGACATGGTGCTGCGTCTGTTGACCAGCCATCGCAGTTGTTGCATGCGTTGCCCACATTTCCTAGCCCCTGCCTTAATATGAGGACCAAATGTTAGACGCTTGTCAAGGGTGATGCCAAGGTACATTGCCTGCGAAGGGATCCACAATGATTATACAAAAAGTCGATTGCATGCAGCTTTATATTGATTGCAAATTTTTTGTCATCTTGTATAATCTAGGTACTCATTAATAATTTCATATGTCAACTTTTACCTTTTTGTATCTGACAGACTTTTTATTTTAGCGCTATTTTTGTATGGTTTGAGGTTGAGGTTCATAAATTGGCATACCAAAGAGAATTTGATTAGAACTAACCTGGAAAGCTATAAAACGTTGAAAGCTTAGATGCAAAGACAAAAAACTGTATGCAAAGCTTGTAGATAGAACACCGTTAAAGCTTCATTAATTGAAATTAATTTGACATTCCTTTCCCTATTGTATACTATAATACGCTAATGCAGCTTTGGCTTCAAATAAAATTCAATTCGGCCAACGCATTTATCTGAAATGGAATATCAAATTTGGGCAAATTGGCTTTGGAATCGGCGAAAATCGGTAAAGCGATTAACTGCACACCCACACTCCCACACATGGACCCACCCCTTAGCAGGCATCCTTAAGCTCGGAATACAAATGCAATTACAATTACGACTGTCGGTTTTAAATTAATTACATTTGGAGAATTCACCAAATGATATAAACTTCTGTGCGAACTTCTGTGCATAATTGACTTTTTCTGTTGCATGAAATTGATTTAGCATCTCAATTGTTCTCCCAGTCTACCAACTAGGCTGAATCAATATTTGGGCCTGGGCTTATGCGGGTCAATGCCAGCCTCGTCCGCTGCGCCAGCTCACCTGCGAAGGCTGGCAACTGTGTAAATATGCCCAGCTCTCAATTGGCTATAAAAAGCCGCTGACCATTGACATTTGCAACATTTAGAGCGTTGCGCACTTCAAAGCTTACTGGAAATATTTTTTCAAATTTACACTGCTCAGCATGAACTCGTCGATGATGATATTCTATGTGATGGTCGTGTCGTTGCTCCTGCTGCTCATCACACCGGTCGCTGAGTCCACCATCGTTTTCTTCGCCTGTCTGTACAATTTGAACATCTGTCCTTTCCGCGCGACGACTCTGAGAATGGAAACAACGAGTACATAAAATAAAGAGTGTCAAATGGATTGCCAGCATTAAAAGTAATTATAGACGAATAAAGCTTCATATTCAATCAAAAAACAGTCTATTGAAATTACTCCATATGAAAGAGAACCAACTCTTAAGAGCTATTGAAACGTAAAAATCCAAATCGTTCAATATATGCAAGTCCAGTAATGTTGTCAAATAACAAGAGAGAACGACTTGTTATTCAAAAATTAGATGAATGTTTGGTAAGGGGGTCAGAAAGAAATCGGAAGAAATCTACTGTAACACTTGGAGCACTATGTCCAAAACATTGGATGGTTCCTTATCGTGATCTAAAATGATCTAAAAATGCAATGCAACTATGGGACTTATTTTATTTGAGAGGTAGAGTAGATTTTTTCCGCGGCCGAAAATCTATCTTGCTCGGGTCGGTATTTTTCGGCTCGGTTGATGAAAAGATGGCACGATGAAATCGCACAATCTATCATGAACTACATTTGAGTGCACTCATCAATCATGGTAAGTTTCAACTTGTGGTAAACTTGAAAACTACTTAAACTTGGAGACCTATTATTTGTGAATTCATTTTTTCAATTTCCGCTCTAACCAATTGTAGAGTGTGCGATGCTTCCTTCTGCCTTTTACATACTTTTTATAAAAACATGATACTCTGATTTCTCATTTAAAATGGGTTCAGGGTATAAAAAAAAAAAAAAAAAAAAAAAAACAAAAATCTTGATTTGCTTGTATTGCACTTACAGAGAGACGGAGGCACAGACTGTGAAATAGACAGGCAGAGAGACAGATATGCAGACACACAAATAAACAAACATCAAAGTGTTCCATAATATTATTGTGTGTACATTTATGTTTTGCATTTATGTTTTGCCAAATTTTTCATTGCCTTCATTTCATTGCTTTCATTGCTTCATTTATTCTCGCTCATTATTCTCGCTAGCTATGACAATCCAAACTCACTCAATGCTTCTCACTCACTAATTCAATTTCATATGGAAGGGAGTCTATGTGAAGCACATACACGTGTTGGAGTGTTGGTTTAAGTCATCCAGCCCTCTAAAATATGTATGTATGTATGTATATAAATGCTTGATAAAGCTAAATGATTGCTAAAAAAAGCTTCTGTACATTAATATTTATAATTTTAAAATGACGTCACTTGGTTTGAGAGGACTTTCTTCTTTTCCAAACATAGTTCTCTTAAGAACTACGACTTCTTCATAGTCTTCCTCAATTTCTGGCCATTCCTTCCCTATTCTATCATCAATGAATTTACTATCTATAGGAAAGACCACTTCCAAATAGGAAAGATCTAGCCTGATCTAGGCAAAACTAACAACACTGATTGCAGCTTCATGCGTGCATAGAATTTATTTGTTGAATAATTTCTTTTGTAGACATACGATCTTAATGATCGGAGCTTAATCATATGGTAAAAATGTGTGTACATTCCAAAGCACAAGTCCCTAGTACCTTTACAATTGTGGGCGAATGGGGCATGGTAACATGGTAAAATCTGTAAATTATAAAATCTTCGTATCGATCAACTGTATATACACAGTAAATCTGAAGTCTCTAGGTCTAAAAGTGTTCAAATTAGGCTGAAAAAACAAAATCAATTTTTTGGTTATTCTCGATAAAAAAGTTATCGGATGAGTAATCGAAAAAAAAACAACTGGTACACACGAGTCTGCATGCCAAATTTCAGCTCTCTAGCTCTTATAGCTTTTGAGATCGACGCACTCATACGGACGGACAGACGGACAGACGAACAGGGCTATATCGACTCAGCTCGTCGTCCTGATCAAGAATATATATACCTTAATGGGTCTGCGATGATTCCTTCTGCCCGTTACATAATTTTTCACAAAACCATTATACCCTGATTTCCCATTTTCAATGGGTTCAGGGTATAAAAACAAGAAAGTAAGCTCTAGTCGAGATTGCTTGACTACGAGATCCCCTGAACCCTTCGAGCAATATCTATTTCAATAATTTTTCGCGTCTTTCTGCTTACACAAGACACACGCACACAGACACACGCATACACACACACACGCATACACAGGCAAACATACACACACGCATACATACATACACACAAACACATACACACACAAGCACCCACGCATAAACACGCATGGGCTGCAGTGTGCACTTACTATGAGAACTTAATTAACTTAATTAACTTTTTTTGTGGACATACGATCTTCATGAAACTTCCAGATTATGATCATAGCACTGGTATATACATATGTATTTGCCAAAGTACAAGTCTCTAGTATTTTAAATACGTCTTTTTCAAATATGTTGGTGAGGGGGTGGATATAGGGGTGAAGGGTAAATTTTAACAAAAACCGAAATTGTAAAATGCATATAAGTATACATTTAAAATTTGGAAGGTCTAGCTCTAAAGGTGTAAGAGATATAATTAAATAACTAGCTCTCGATAAGATTTTTAATCGATAATAAAATATCGAGAGTAGTTATCGATATTTAGAGAAAAACTCGATATGCGCGTGATATACACGGACAGACTAAATCAACTCATCTCGTCGCCCTGATCAAAAATATATATACTTTATAGGGTGTGCCACGCCTCCTTCTGCCTGTTACATACATTTAACATTAACATTAACCATTATACCCTGATTTCCCATTTTCAATGAGTTCAGGGTATTAATGAAGTATATTTGAATTGTGAATTGTGTTGAGAATATGAGCTGCGCCCGTTCGCCAAGTGGATAACTCCTCGCCAGGGAAAACACAAAACCTCCTCTTCGGCTAATAGATAGAGAGGCATTCAATAATTGTAACCATTGGTTTCTCAAATATCAATATAATGTTAATGTTGCGGTGTGATATGTGCAATTAGATTTATTTTATTGAGGTGCAGCATTCCATGCGATGATTTTTCTACAGCAGCGTTTATATTTGTTTCAGATCAAACTAAAATATAATTAATCGAATCACAAAATAAATTACAAGGAAGCAAAGCTAAGATATAAATGGATGAGCTAACAAATAAATAAATGATAATAGTAATTAACGAGCCGACAACAAGTGGCTTCTGCTTCTAGCTGAGAGGCTGTGTAGTTACTAGTTGTGGCTCGGAAGTAGAGTCTCCAAGTAGAGTCATCTGAAGTCAAATGGAAACTCTTTTGCTTCGATGAGTGCTCGGTGCTATTATAGAAAGTCGAGTGCAAAGTTTCTATCATTAGTCATATTCCCTAATTAAGTGCAAAGCGCATCAAAGCCAAGTCAACGGGAATGCTTGTACTCTCCACGCTGCTACGTGCGGTGCTTATGTAATTTGAAACAAGTCCAAACTCCGTACGCGAATCCCAACTCAAAACCGAATGCGAAACCGAGCCTTTTCCAATGAGCAATGGCCTGAACGTTGTTCTTGTTGTTGTGTGACCAAGGCATTGTCGCATAGCTTTACTTATTAGTCAGACCTTTTCCCAGCTTAACATAACTTAACTGAATTCTGGTGGCTACAACCCCAATAGCGCTGAACGAAGAAAAGTTTGTTTTTCTGGATATTTAATAACTTGACAAGAAACTCCATAGCGACTCTTCGGCGCCTATTTTCAACACCACTTTCGAGCACACAGACTACTAAAGAGTTTAATATCTGGATCATCTGAATAGTAAAAATGTATGTATATATATGTATATACATATGTATATATTAAGAACGTTAATTTTGAAAGGCCATTTACTTTGATTGCATTTTTGGTATTCTTATTGGACTGTACATACTCGTAACTTATTATTATACTACATGAGTTTTGATCTTGATGAGATTAATTATACTCATTCACGAAAGTGAATTAGTATATTGGTTTTGTGCAATGTCCGTCCGTCTGTCCGTATGAACCGCTGAAATTTTGCACGTAAGCTAATGTTATGATTCTATAAGGTCTTATGACAAAATTTTATGTCTACACCTATTAGGGGCGTGGCAAATCGGACCTGAAGATATAATGATTTTTAAAATTCTACTATATTTTGAGCACTATTGATGCTAGAGACCTCAAATTTTGTATAAATGCTCATGAATTTATATACTTTATGGGGTCTGCAATGACTCCTTCTGCCTATTACATACTTTTCACAAAACCATTATACCCTGATATCCAATTTTCAATGGGTTAAGGGTATATAAAAATGTAATTCAACCCGAATCGGCTCAAACCTGCAGAGCCCTTTTAGCCAAATAACTTAAGGCCATTAGCAATCTTCGGTTGCATTTGAGTTGGCCTATGGATCTCTTTAGTTTGAGTAGCCCCTTTCAAATTGCCGTTGGTTTGGCATACATTTTGAACCAAGAATGTTGCTTAATTTTGCTGCATACCAAAACATGTGAATAAATTTCCCATACGCCGCAGGCGCATTTGAAGCCTCAAAAGGCAGGAGAGGCCTCAGAAGCAAGTAGTGAATGACGAGACGAGTCCCCAATCTGCAAAATTACATTTTTCTTCACACAACACAGCGGACATGCACACACCCACAGGCACACAAAAATATATGCAAATACAACAATTTACTATTGGAGCACAAAAATTATCATTTCGTCAGCAACCGCAAATTTGAGCTTTTTTCTCGAATTTGCAGAAACTCATCAAATGAATCAAGGACCTGCGAGTCTGCCACTCACTCTACGTGTGTTGCAGCATAGCATAAAACAACAAACGAGAACTTGAAAGTTGAAATAACTCAACTGGATTACATAAAGTTAAAGGTATTTGCATTAAATTGAAAGGCGGCTCCCCACATTCCCGAGAAATAACAGTAGTAGTAAGATTTGATACTTGTAGTTAGTAAGACGCAGTAATAAAGTAAATTTGCATTTAAGTTACTGTTAGCTCGTTCTAAGAACTGGGCAAAAATGAGAAGTCTACGGCCACTAGGGGCGTGGCAATCGGCATTTATAGTGTCCAAATTATGACATTTATATGCGTGAGCCATCTAGTTATATATTTTTACATATAAATAAGTTTAATAGATATTCATAATACGGAAAGAAACATTTTTGTGAAATTAAAAAAATATAAAATAAGCTA